AGAGAGAGAGAGAGAGAGAGAGAGAGAGAGAGAAGGGAAAAAAACAAAGAGAGAAGAGAAGAGAAAAGAGAAGAAAAGAGAAAAGAGAAGAAAAGAGAAGAGGAGAAAGAGAAAGAGAGAAAGAGAGAGAAGAGAAGAGGAAAGGAGAGAAAAGGAGACAGAGAGAGACAGAGAAGAAAAAGAGAGAGAAGAGAGAGAAAGACAAATAGACAGACAGAGAAGAGAAGAAAAGAGAAGAGAAGAGAGAGAGAAGAGAAAGATAGACAAAGAAAAAAAAAGAAAAAGACAGAAAGAGAAAAAAAGAGAAAAGAGAAGAAAAGAGAAGAGAAGAGAGAGAGAAGAGAAAGATAGACAAAGAAAAAAAAAGAAAAAGACAGAAAGAGAAAAAAAGAGAAAAGAGAAGAAAAGAGAAGAGGAGAGAGAGAAAGAGAGAGAAGAGAAGAGGAGAAGAGGAGACAGAGAGAGATAGAGAAGAAAAAGAGAAAAGAGAGAGAGAGAAGAGAGGGGAGAGAGAGACAAATAGACAGACAGAGAAGAGAAGAAAAGAGAAGAGAAGAGAGAGAGAAGAGAAAGATAGACAAAGAAAAAAAAAGAAAAAGACAGAAAGAGAAAAAACGAGACAAGAGAAGAAAAGAGAAGAGAAGAGAGAGAGAAGAGAAAGATAGACAAAGAAAGAAAAAGAAAAAAGACAGAAAGAGAAAAAAAGAGAAAAGAAGAGAAGAAAAGAGAAGAGAAGAGAAGAGGAGAGAAGAGGAGACAGAGAGAAATAAAGAAGAAAAAGAGAAAGAAAAGAGAGAGAGAAGAGAGGAAAGAGGAGAGAGAGAGAGACAAATAGACAGACAGAAAAGAAAAGAGAAGAGAGAGAAAGGAAAGAGACAGACAGAGAAGAGAGAGAAAAGAAAGAGACAGAGAGAGAAAAGAAAGAGATAGAGAGAGAAGAGAAGAGAAAGAGAGAGAAAAGGATAGGTTCTATTTAAGGGATGGAGTTGGATGTTGTGGTTGGTGGACTGGGGGTGTTTTGAGCGAGGAGAATTAGATTTTATTAGGGAGTATTATTTGGGAGTGGGAATGGAAAGAAGGAGTGAGGAGAAAAGAGGAAGAGAGCGAGAAGAAATAGGGAGGGGAGACTTTTGATGAAATTAAGATTTTTGAGAAAATGAATGAAAGGGAGGATTGGATAAGTTGTAAATATCGTTGGGAATGGATTCTGTGAATGGCATTGGGAGAAGAAGAAGAAATGGAGAAAAAGAGAATATAATGTAAATAAATAAATTAAGATTGTAAGATTGGATTGCCAGATTGAAACTTAAATAAGGATAAGAATAAAGATACTTAAATACTCGAGGAATACTTGAGAAATGGAATAAAAATGTAGGGAAAGGATTTGAAAAAGGATTTTCATCCTCGTTATTCCCATGTTCGCTCTATATTCGCAAAAAAAAAAAAAAAAAAAAAAAAAAAAAAAAAAAACAAAAAAGTATCCAATTTAATTAAATTAATAACGTTATATAAACAATCTCATTTGATTGCCTTCTATTTGCAGGCCACCCCTACAAAAAGAAAGACAAATATTTAAAGAAAAAAATATCGAATAAATAAATAAAGAAAATAATAATATTCAAACGTAGAATAAGAAAAAAGGAGTTTGTGTATCCTCTGATCGCAGTAGTTGGAAAAGCTTGCTTTTGCCAGTTATATCTGTAAATGGTCAGGCCACTGCAATCGAATAGGTCGAGTGTCCAGTGGCCGATTGCGCTGATCTTTCGGTTTGTAATTTATTGCAGGGAATTGGAAACGGTTTCGTGGATGTTTGCATCCTATCAGCTTTCTGGATTACGTAAGCTTGCTTATGCGAATGCTTCGAGCCTCCAACAATCCAATGTATATTTGATTCAGGTTCACAAGAAAACTAGAAAATCGAAACATTGACTTTAATTGTTGTATCATGTCACATTGATTAAGATACATTTGATACGTATAATGAAATAATTTTCCACGTTGATCAATGTTCATTTGTGGAAAAATACTTTTTGCAGTGTTAAGTAATATTTCAAAGTGAAACTTAGTGAGAATTATTACTTTTTCTTTTTTTTTAAAAATCGTCGTTGAAAATGAAAGTCCAACGAACGAAGAAAAATATTATTTATCGTTAAAAATATTCTTGAGAATAAAACTTCCAAGAATTATTCTCCACAGTTATTTTTTGTTACTCGATATCGGATTGATAGCGAAAGTTATTCCAGAGAATTCTATTTTTAAATATATTCTTATTTTAATTTGAGGATTAAGAAGAATACTTTTTTTTTTTTTTTTTTTGAATCCACATCTGTTCCCTTTCACAATTAAGAATTACTTTTACTAATTAATCAATCAATCATTAAAAAGAAAAAAAAAAAAGAAATGATTAAAAAAGAGAAGAATTAATATATCAGTATTTTCTATCCCACGCTGTTTTATTTACATTATAT